GGCGTTACGTATGAATGCCTAAACACATAGCTGAGTGGTAACCATTTTGGTCGCATAATTTCTGATTAAGTGTAATTTTATTTTTGTATTTCCTTTTTCTTTAAGTTTATAATTGTTTATGTTTTAGTTGTAATTGTTGTTTGTTTGTTGTTGTTGTTGTTTGTTTTATATGTGCCAAATAAATATTATTCTTTCTTCTTTCTTTCTTAATTGAATTTATGATTAATTCATTACAAGTTATCCATCGTCCAATCCTGACTATATTCAGCTCCCTCATTTTACGCCACAAAGCGCGATCCTGCACCACTTGTATCTAACAATTCCTTGTAATACTTGCGAATCGCCCAACACTGCGTTGTTTGTAAGGGGTCGCCACCTGAGGAACTTTCTTTCCCAACAGTTATCGGTTGCTCGAGCTATATGGCCTGCTCACTGCCACTTCAAATTGTTGATACTGGATGAATTTTCAAGTTTTAAATTCTACTTGTATCACGGATTGAAACTCTTACGCAATCTTCCTAATATTATAAATTTGTTACTAGACGATGTCTGTACATAGAAGATATTTAGTAAAAATTGATACGAAGGGTCTCACTAAGGTCAATAGAACCCAAAACATTCATGAGTCTATTTGTAAAAGGATATAGACACATAAACAGTTCCGGCATACTGCAAATATAAACTGCACCAAATTAGGCGTGGTTTTCACAGTTGTATTTCTGTAGGTCAACTTAGGTAACCTAGGGATAGGCAGCAGCGTCTCTCTTAAAACATCACCAAAGCCTAGCTGCGATTGCTAACCCGTTTGCCAAGAATGGCAACTATTGACAAAGGTAGTCTATGACGAAGGACTATGTTCAGAAGTTAACAGCTGGTATAATTATTTCTAAAGATTTAACTTAAAATCTGGTATATATTTTATTTTCATACGTCATCTAGAAATGGCCTATTTTTTTTATGCAACTTAGAATGGCAAACAAGCTGACGGCCCACCTGATGGAAAGTGGTAACCGTCGCCTATAGAAATGAGCAGTACCATGGACACAACAGAGTATACTGTTCGCCCATGATACTCCCCATGCGTTGCCATTCCTGAGGACTCCAATATTATTCCTCTGTACCCTTTTTTTTTTTTTTTTTTTTTTTTTTTTAACGTCTGGAAAATGCTTTAAGCAGACCCATACACCTTGTGGGAGGTGAATGGGTACTGTGGGAATCCCCCCGTAAGGTGGGGGTGTACCCACTAAAAACCAGACGATATACCCTCGAGGTGCCATATGTCGGAGACATGGGTTCGCTTTCGCACTCACCACATCTCAGACGGCAGCGACCCGCCCCCAGATGGTAAGAACAGGTCTCCTCTCTCAAGATAGGGTGGATGGCGTGCTCACCCTACCACTCGGAGGATGCGCCGGTATATTAGCACATCCCCCAGGACCATTGGGACAATACCTTCCCACAGGTATCACCCCGGCCCTAGTGGGGAAGGAGGAGGGGCGGAACTGGGCGCGCCCCTCCTTCTGCGTCTGACTCGTCTGCGGCGGATTGACGGTGCGAAAGTGGCACTCTCCCGCTCCCTTTCCGCCGCCTCCTTCTGCGACATGACGGCGTCGCAGAAGGCGAGCATCGCTTCCCACGATCTCTCACTGCTCACCATCCGCCGAACCACGGCGGGCAGTGAGAGATCGGTCCCCACTATCGCGGACAAGATACGACGCTCATCGGTATACGCTGGGCACTCCTCCAGCGTATGCTCCGCCGTGTCCTGGTGCGCTCCACAAGCATGGCACTCCTCCGTCGGCTCCCTGCGCGCGACATGACACAGATATCGCCCAAAGCACCCATGCCCGGACAGTATCTGTGTCATCCTGAAGGTCAGCGGCCTTCGCCGCCTATCCATCCACTTCTTAAGAAGTGGACGGATAGCCTCGACGGTCCTTCGGCCGGCCGATGGATCGGCCAGCCGCTGTTCCCACTCCCGCTGCAGGACCCGTCGAATGTGGTACTTCCGCAGCGCAACTTCCAGCCTGGAAGGCTCGGCACCCTGGCGCCTCCGCTCTGCACGCCACTCATAGACCGACGCACAGGCATTGGCCTCCAAGTCCCAGGGCGGCGAGCCCGCCATCACACACGCCGCCTCCGTGGAGATAGTGCGGTATCCGCGTATAATGCGGATTGCCATGGCCCTATGTGGCCTGTTTAAACAAGCCACATTTTGCCTGCTCAGGGCCCTATTCCATATTGGAGCCCCGTACAGGGCCATGGACCTCACCACCCCAAGATAGAGGCGACGTGCGCTCCCTCCTGGCCCTCCTATGTTTGGCAGCAGCCGGCTTAGAGCACCGGCAGCCGCCATAAGGCGGGGGGCCAACCTCTGGAAGTGCTTACGGAAGTTCCAGCGACTGTCTAAGTCAAGCCCTAAGTACCTCATATGGGGCTTGACGACCAATCTCTGGCCACTGACCATTATGTGGGCTCCCTCTGGTGGCGCTCGTCGGGGTCTGTGAAAGCATAGTACCTCCGACTTCTCCAGCGCCACATGGAGCCCAAGGCGACGCGCACGACCGACGACGAGTGCCACGTTTGCCGTGGCAAGACGGGCAGCTTCCCTGTAAGTCCTCCCCTTGGCAACAACAAGTGTGTCATCTGCATAGCAGACAACATCGCTGCCGGAAAGTAGAGCACCCCGCAAGTTCCAGTCATACCCGATGTTCCACAAGATCGGTCCTAGCACCGACCCCTGTGGGACACCACGCTGCATCTCCCTCGACGTTACCGCCCCATTCTGTCCCACGCAGTGCACTATCCTGTGCTCTAGGTAGGCCCCGATTACGTCCCGTAAGTAGGGAGGCACCTGATGATATTTTAGTGCCTCCCTAATGCACGCAAATGGCAGAGTGTTGAAGGCGTTCTTGATGTCGAGCGACACCGCCAACAGCACCTCACCGCAGGACGTCGCCTCATCCGAGAGAGCCCGAACACGAGCGACGGCATCGATGGTGCTCAGACCCGCACGAAATCCGAACTGCCTCGGACTGAGGCCGGGACCTACTTGGGACAGGTGTTGGTTGAGGCGACCAGCTATTATTCTTTCAAACAGCTTGCCGACCTCCCCCAGTAGTACTATGGGACGGAATGCCGAGGGTGCAAGGGAACCTGCGGGGTGCCCCTCCTTCCGTAAGAGGACCACTCTGCCCATCTTCCACTCGTCGGGAAATCGTCCCGTCTCCAGGCACCTGTCGAACAGGTCCCGGAGACGGTCCCCTAGGGCGCCCAGGGCCAGGACTAGAACGCGGCCGGGTATTCCATCAGGCCCCGGGGCGGTGTTTTTCGCCCGGAGCCTATCCACAGCCGCTGCAAACTCCTCCTGGGAGACTCTCGTGGCCCCTACAACTCCGGCACCACTAACCTCATGGCTCCGCGGTAACATGGGAGGGGGTGTAAACTCCGGCTGCGCTGGGAAAAGCGCAGCCAGTACCTCTTCCAGCTGTTGAGGCGGGATGCGTTCCGCTTCCGGGGGCGCCCAGGGGCGCATTTTGCCCCTTACCGTACGATACGGGCGCCCCCATGGATTCCTCTGTACCCTGTAAATTCACGCCATATCCCACCCTTCAAACCGAAACACAGCCATGCAAACACAACTGCTTCACGGTTAAAACACGAATAGGACAGAATCTTTAATTTTCCTACTTCTAAAGTTCACGTGTACGAAATAGTGGGTAAAAGTTAGTTGAATAATAAAATCTAAATATCACAATGTGTATACAAACTTCTACATTTATAATGTTAGTATGAAAATGTATACGCTAAAAGTCTACTCTGAACATATTTTGCTGTACTTCCTATAAAGTTTGTTCATAGGTACGATGTTATATGACGCATATGAATATGAAATTACAAAGAAGTTATTTTGTTACGATATAAGTAAAAATATCTTATGATTCCACGAAATAAAATATTTAATACATTAATTTTCTATTTTTCTACTCGATTTGAATATTGTGATCGATCTTTGACCCATTCGTGTTTCAACCGTGAAGCAGTTGTGTTTGAATGGCTGTGTTTCGGTTTGAAGGGTGGGATATGGCATGATTTACAGGGTGCAGAGGATTAACACCTGAGTCCTCAGAAATGGCAACGCATGGGGGGTCCGTCAGCTTGTTTGCCATTCTAAGTTGTATAAAAAAAATAAAAGAAAAAAAATTTGGTTTTCATATCATTTTATTTTAAGCGTAAAAGTCTCTAATAGTTATCCATCTAATGATCTATCAGACAATAACGGTATTTAGAGTATCTTAAGATGCATAATTTTAAACAGAACTGTATTTATTACAAACTTTTATTCAATAATTTAAAATATATGTTAGTCAGTTTGTTTGTTTAGGTCCAATTTTCCAAGCTGAATTAGAACCACTTTTTGGCATCCGATTAAGCTGAAGTTTAGCCTTAACCTTCAGTTTTGATGACAACATAATATGACATCATTATAACAAGCCATTAAATGTCAACTCCTAAATATAGGCCTTCTCCATAAGAGGGGCTTTTCTAGTAGTTGCCATGTTCGGCAGGTGGGTTGGCAACCACAGTTAGGCTTTGGCGATGTTGCTGTAGTAGTGTGATGGTATGCGGTGACGCTGCAACCCATCCCTCGATCATAAAATTCTATTTGTCACCTCTTACAACACCCATGGGTAAGGAAGGCGTGGAGTATATTAAACCGGGACCACAAGGTAATAATATGCCATACCCAAACCAAAAATGGTGTACTAAACATAATATTACTTGTAATATTTTCAAAATGGCTGTTTTTACATGAGTATTAAATTAAAGGAATTGAATAGTAGAAAACGATGAAGTTAATGGATAAAATTATTAACTCTAAATCCAATATGGCCGTCGCTCCAAAATAATTACATTATAAGAACTTGTTTTTTTAATACAATAAGTAGTTTTTAATACAATAAAGTTATTATCAACAGACTTGTTTAATATCTACTTACCTAATAGCAATATGGTGCCAACGAAAGTCATACAACGGTACTGCCAAATATATGGATCTTGAAGACCCCGAGCCTGCATGCACAAGCCTTGCAGCGCCCCGACCAGCCAGCTCCAGGGAAAGGAACGAGCCCGTCCGGCGGCGGGACCTTAGAGAGAACAACGTCCCCTGGCCGTAGCCTCCGCTCTGTAAAAAATATCCGAATTAGTCTCCCAAGGAATATGCGTTTTTGTAAAGAAATTTTTGACACAACACTAAAGTGGGACTGAATCAGTGGCGCATTTCAGATGATAGGCGGTTCCCAATTTGTATATCGTGGCTTTCTGCAAATCTAAAGAGCCGTAATAGATCTTATAGAAAATGGAAATGTAATCCTGATATACTACGAGAACTTATAAGCCTTGGCCAGCGATTGTGAAGGTGAAACCAGATATGGTAGGCCTTTGCTCAGAGTGTAACATTATGGATTAAGAATGTGGAATGATAAGTATCTAAAACGGAAGACTTTCTAAGATAACCTGTTAATATCTCACTAATGGGCTGGGTTTTTCATTATTATCACGTTGACCAGGTAACTTAGTGGAGTCCATTTTAATTTTTCATTTTTTTGCACTGATATAACAAGCTATATTCTCTCAAACATAAAGATGTCTCTTGATGATGTTGATTCAGAAAATGAAAAAAAATCGTAATATGTTCTTGTCATGTCTCCTTATTTAGTTACCATACGAAAATGTCTCAATTAAATACTTTATAAAATTATATTGTATTATAATAATAATGAAACTTTTTAATCTGTGTCTACAATGATAAACTTTAACGTTTAGTGAAGCTATTAAGTGTAGTAGGAGTCAATAGAAAAAAAAAAAGTATGCATAAAGATATAAAGAGCAAAATTATATTTTACGGCAAAAATAGTATTAACAATTCAAAACAGAATTAAGGATTGTGAAGTAAAATTTCCAGCATAGCAAGAAACTCCTGGGATTGGTACGTAACTCGTAACTCATTTTCTAACAATTCTCATTAAACAGATTGAAATTGACGGTTCCGTGATTAAGAAGGGACGTACCGTTTAACAATTTTAGTTACAAGTGGAGTTAAACGGTTTGTAACTAACTAATTCAAACTGGAACTGTTAAAAACAATACCATACCATAATATATACCAACCATATAGACCGTATGTTTATTTGCCACACTAGCAGAATAAAATACAATCCAGATAGAGTTGTTATTGATTTTTTTTTAAATGGTGACGACGATGATGAGTTTTGACCGATTCCAGTAATTGCAACAGTTTCGACTTCATTACTATTAGTCAGTGACATAGAAAGGTAAATAGATTTTTTGTAATACTTAGAATAGAGACCAAGCTGAAGGTCCACCTGATGAAAAGTGGCAATGTGGTTACTGACGCCTATAGACATGAATAGCATAGGATGCACATTGATGCAAATGGTTGAAATTTCTAAGTATTAAGGCCTTACGCCTCAGTACCTGCCATATCCAAATATTACTGCCATATTCCGTTCTTTAAACATAAACATGTAAATATAACTGTTTCACAGAAATACAAAAAGGATGTGATACTTAGTAATATGGTATTTTTTATTATAGCACGGCATGAGACCAAATCATCCTACAGCAAACAAACAAAGATGACAAGATGACAAAAGAGAACAAAGGAACAATATGGTCCAATGATTTCGATCAACTAAATCCAAGAGACTGGGAGGGAAAGGGATTGTTGGCAATGGAGTTTGCCCTATTAGGTCGACCTCCACGTGGTTCCCTCTGGAATTCATCGTGAATAATTTTTGTTGAATTTGTCACGATGGGCTAACTGACCTGCTTCATCCTCATCTATTACCCCTCATTAGTGCCCCGCCAGTGTATACCGATAGCGCGGGCGGGGTTACCATTTCATTATCACCCATTAAAAAAAAATCAAGAGACTGTTCTACTCTGGACGGCTGCCCGCGCTATGTCGGTTCACTAAGTACCTTTACATGGTGCTTTTGAAGAATCTGATATTACAAAACGAAGGAAACAGAAGTCATGCAAAAGATTTTTGTATAAAGGTTTCGTTCCGTAGGTTAAGTAATTCTTGTTAGACTTGATGTGCCCTAATGTGGCTTATAATAAAAAAAAAATTAGAGTTATCATCGTCATCATATCAGCTTTTAACTGTCCACTGCTGAACATAAGCCTCCCCCTTAGAGGAGTTTTGCCAGTAGTTGCCACGCTTGGTATGCGGATTGGTAGTTAGGTTTTAGAGATGCTTTAAGAGGGACGCTGCTGCCCATCCCTTGCCGTCCCTTAGTCGCCTTCCACGAGAAAGGAAGGGCTTACCTATTCTATGTTGGGACGACACGAGGTTATCATCGTTATTATAATTATGTTAAACTAGCTTTTCCCGTGACTGTGCCCATTGACCGGAATAAAACTTGCCTATATTCCGCTCCTTATATTAAATTACATAGTGATTAAGCTGACAAGGTCCTAACAAGTACTAAACAAGCAAACTTTTTTTATAACACGAGGCAAATGGGCATGCGGCTCACCTGATGGAACGTGACTACCGCCACCCATGATCCCCTGCAACACCAAAAGGCATTGCAGGTTTGCTGTCGGCCTTTTAAAAAGGAATATGATCTTTTTTTGACGGTTATGCTTTCCATATAATATTAGTAAGTATTTCATCTGGCAGTTGGGTTTTAATTTTATCTCTATTAGTCCTTTAGTATCTAACTGAGAAATATTCATATGTAACAGATTTACACATAATATAAAGAGAACAAATAAGAATATGGCGCCTAACTTGTTCTTTAAGAAAATTATTTTCACTCTAACAAGTAATTCTCATATAAACATGCCAAAATACAAGCACTTAATTGGAAACATATGAGAATAAGAAATGAGAATTTGTAATGAAGAAGGCGTATATGTATATACGGTATTACTACAAGAAATATTTAAAGCACTATTTATCTAAACTGTGTTTAACAAAACCTTGCCTAATTGTTAGTTGTATAATAGTTATTTCTAATTTTATGCACCAAAATCTATAAAATATTATAATAAAATTTATTACATAAAACACATTTTATTTGTATATTATAGGTATGAGAAAAAAAAATGTTCCCAATTCCAATTAAAAAAAAACCCGACCTGATATGAGAATCTTTGATTTAATACTTGTAATATTGATAAAAGCATGAATTAATTAATGTATTTTATATGAAAATTTTGTCAGCCAGACGTTATATTATCTTAGTTTTTAATTCTTGATGCTCTACCTATAAAATCTAAGTGTACCTCATTGATTCGGTAGTTTAAGAACCGAGTCCTAAAGTCTATGGTTTGATTTACTTAAAAGCTTTATTTATTTTCTACATTAAATACGAGTATACATTGCCGTATAGTCCCGGCATATACTGGGTCATCCCTTACTTTCCCGTGGTTGTCGTAAGAAATGACTAAGGGCACTTAGTGGCCGAAGAATGGGCAGCAGCGTTCTTCTTAAAATATTATCAAAGCCTAACTGCGGTTGCTAACCCGCCTGCCGAGTGTAGAAACTACTAGAAAAATCCCTGTTACGGAAGAGGCCCATGTTCAGCAGTGGACAGTTAACAGTTGAAGGGATGAGGATTGGGATACATTTAATGCAAAATTAACAGAACTTAATAAAGCATTAAAAAAATTTGATTATATAGATCGCATCAAATATCAAGTACTGGCCAAATTTAACTAATTTGACCTTAAGCTGACCAAATTTGACACTTTTTTTTTTAAATCAAAACAAAACGAGCTTTGAAAACTGAACCCATTTTATATCAATAATATCTTTATAAATTACATTTAGACTTAACTTTTCCTGTATGTGAATGAAAAGCAAAGGGGCAACAGTCATTAGCAATTAGAATCGTCGATGCGTTACCGACCTTTTAAAAAGGTATGAGCTTTCTTCGAGGCCCCAATTCGATTTTGTTCCGAAACACCATTACAGGTAGTTCGTTCAACATTTTTACGGTACGTGGCAGGAAATGTCACGTAAAACGTACAATAGTGGATGGTCATTCGTCAATTTTATGTAGGAACTCCCAAACTAAATTGGCTCGGAATCTACGTAGCTTTTATAGCTCGTTTTTTTTTACTATAAAAAATTGAAACCCAAATTGTATTTGGCATTCCTAAGTAATGGAAAGAAGATATTATGAGTAATAAGGATTAGCGACTCTATTGTTAACAATATACTCTATCAGGTCGATTTCGGTCCCCCCTGAAAACTAGATGAATTCGTCACGATGGGTCGACTGATTTGCTTTCATTTTCACCTATCATCTTTCTTTGATGGCAAATTATTGATAATCAGTGCCTTAATATCCGGCTCGACCCACTGAAACTACGTAGAGACATTGCATTTCTATGCATCTTTTTTCCAAATGTATCATGGGGAGTGCTCCGAGGATTGTTCGGATTAATACCTGCTGCTGAAATTCACCATCGTACAATACGTTACAAACTAAAGTTCCGTCCTCATCATCTGGATGAGTAGAGACCTTCCACCGTGCGTTTATCAAGGCACTTTCTTTGTTACACAACCACAATATGAAATCAACTTCCAACAGCAGTATTTCCAAACTGATACGTAATCGTACCTGCAATTACTTTGTCGTTGCGGGTGCTCATGAGCGATGGTAGTTAATTAACATCATAGGCATTTTTTTAAACACAGGGGTCTTAAGAAATTGCCCTGGTAGTGTATATTTCTAGCACAAATGAAGTTACCTTTATCATCCATAAAGAATCCTTTAAATAATATGGTAACGAGAGAATTGCAATTGCTAATTTTTGCAGAAAATACATAATACTAAAGCAAAACTCACAATATTCGAATTTTGTAAGTAATTTCCAATAAATCCAATAATTTGTATATCCTCACGTGTAGTACCTTACAAGGTAGACCGAGATCAAATCCCAATCACCTTTTAGCGCTTAACATATGCGCTGCACCATTTTCATATAGCGCAGTACAAACTTGACAACCGGCTGACAAAGTTGAGTTTTCGCACACAGCGAAGCAACGCGTGTATGAAGCACCTTAGCTTCATCTACATAATATTTTCCTTCATCCATTTTCATAACATACTTCACGTATATGTTGGTTTCGGAGACTTTTAATATTATATGTTTAACTACTACATTTTTATCTTTGATTTCAAATGTAGGAAAACTAATGAAATATGGTAGACCACTTTTAATTGTTATATCAGAATAGAACATATACTAGTTTTTAAGTTAGAACTTCAGGACACAACTGCAGAAACCGAATCCAATTTGATGCAGTAATTTTTACGTGATACCGAAACAAACATACAGACAGACAGACAAAATTTCTATGTCTATATATATTCTTTCTATTTCAAGACAAAATATTGTTATGACATCTATTAGTTTAAGACCCATCGTATTTTTTTTTTTATTATTTCCCATCATATAGTTATAATTTTATTATAATAGTAATAGTCTAATTAAAAAATAGATCTTAACTAGTTATAATATGAACAAACCTCAGGTCTCAATCTTAGTGATACAAATAATGTGAATTCTCTGGGGAAGGTCTTCCCAGCAGCAAAGAGCTCCGAAGACGCGATCCAAATGTAAGAGTTGGGTCGCAGACTGAAGGCATGTGGGCGATCATCCACAGGGCCCCACCGGGCCTGAGCAGGATGGAAATTCCGTCTTGCACCCGGTGCTAAAGGGTTTATTGCTCCTGTGGAAAAACAGAAATTTAATTTAAATTATATTTTTAAGTGAATATAATTGGAATTGTGTACCACAAAAAATAAACTAACTTCAGTTATGGCAACACCAGTCACTTTGATTTCAAAACTATACTACTGGACTAATTTTTATAAAATTTCTATAGAAATAATCTGTAACTATTCTTTTAGATAAAAAATAAATTATAAATCAATTTATAACTGAGGTAAAAAATATAAAAATTACAACCGAATTAGGAATCCTTCTTTCAAGCCCTTTTGAATTTTGAATTTTGCCATTTTCCATTTTGCCATGATCTGTAACACAGGTTTATCCTACTTCAGACACCAGTTCTTCACAATACATTAAATTATGTAATCTCCAAATAAAATAAATGTATTTTGAACATATTACAATATTAAATAAAGCATATCATATTGTTATCAGAACTGAAGGTGTATAAAATATTTCAACTCAATTGGATATCAAGAAATGGTTCTAATTAAGCTAACAAAAGAAAAAAAAAACAAAATAGAAACTATACATACATTGTAAATTAAATTAAAGATTAAAAAAAGAAAGATTTCATATTGTTTGCATTTTATAGCTATGTTAAGCTAATTCAATATTTGATTATTAAATATTATTTTATTAAATCCATTCTTTTCCCGTGGATGTCGTAAGAGGAGACTAAGGGAACTTAATAGCCAAGGAACGGGCAGCAGCGTTCTTCCTAAAACAGCCTAACTGCTATTACTAACCCATCTGCTAAGCGTGGCAATTACTGGCAAAAACCTATGTATGGGAGAGGCCCATTAATGGACAATTAACGACTGATATGGTGATTTTATTTATACAACTTAGAATGACAAACAAGCTGACTGCCCACCTGATGGAAAGTGGTAACCGTCGCTTATAGGCATGAGCAGTACCGTGGACATAACAGAGTATGCTGTTTCGCCTATGATACCCCCCATGCGTTGTCATTCCTGAGGACTCAGGTGTTATTCCTCTGTACCCTGTAAATTCACGCCATATCTGACCCTTCAAACCGAAACACAGCCATGCAAACACTACTGCTTCACGGTAGAAACACAAATGGGACAGAGGTACCCAGGCAATCGGCAATCTGGTTGGTGATGATGATGATGATGATGATGAATTTATTAAAATAAAAAAATATTTGACAAAATTAATATTATAGTATGTGTACACTACAATATAATTATTAAAATGTCTTTAGCTAAAATATCCGAGTCTATACGCACAACAACAAATACATTTGAGTACCGTCTCCATTTGTAATTATGTTGGCACGTATGTTTAATTAATTGCGTGGTAATAATAATAGACCTGTACATTTCCAGTGAAATTCATGATAGTATCCATGTTGTTTATTTACAAAGAAGATATCTATGTCTAAGCCTGAGGCTTTCTATTCCTGTATTTGAACAATAGTTTCATATTCCAGCAATACAGAAAGTAAATGTAACATATGTTTTATTATGTACTAAAAATAATTTTTTTTCGTGTTGTGTGGTCCCAGCATAGAATAGGCCATCTCTTCCTTTCCCATAGTGTCGTGACTAAGGAAACATAATGATCGTTGGAGGGGCAGCAACGTCCCTCTTAAAATATCATCAAAAGCCAACCTGCGATATTGTCTGTCAAACGTGGCAACTACTAGTAAACTGCCATAAGGAATGCTCCCATTCTTTATAGAGGGGGAGGCCTGTGTTTGAATATGTAGACATCCACTATTGATAGTGGATAGATAACGACTGATAATAAATAATAACAGAGAAATGATGTACTTTAGAACACCGTGAGTTTTTACACTGTGACTTTATCTGCATGACGGAGCAGGATAAATTGTAGACTATATTTTTCTCCATTCCAAAAAGCATTGTATTGTATTGTATTGTAAAAATCTTTATTGTACATAACTCAGATTAAATACTAGTAAATGATTTAATATACAATATATATATAAGCATATGTTTATACCAAATTTAATAATGATTACAGTTGAACTACCAAAATGCTTAGAAATAACAAACAAAAGAATTCACAATTATAAACGTAACAAAAATTAATTAGACAAATAGGTGCAACAATTCCAAACTGATGCGCTTACATACGGTCGGGAATTGATTCTTGTATATATTTTACAAATATAACATATAAGAATTACTAAAAAGATTTAATAATGAAAGTCATAATGAATCGATCATAGACAAATTTTTATCTTTTTAAAAACATAGACAAGTAAAGTTAGTGATGACAACATTGTCAAGAATCGATCGCGATCGACTCGTGTCGCGGCTGGACAATCTAGATGGTAAGAACACAGATGTAGAACAGTTGGAAGTTATGTGTAAAAAATAATGTATCTCAAAATTATTATACTTTTTGCCAGCTAGAGAAAGTTTGTCCCTCTTGTAGCCAAACTATACGAGTATATCCATATTTCACTTGCTAACTGTGTAACCTCATTACTATTCCACACTGGAGGCAGTCAAGGTGCATTAACGGATGACTTTCCTGGCAGTTTGTTTGGTAATAGTTCCTTGCTCGATCCGAAAGTGTGAGGTGAATATTTTATAAAGGTAGTGGCTTTGTTTGAGTACAGGACTTGTTTCAACGTGTTACATATGCGAAATATGATCCAACTTTACAAAATTTTCATGGCCTGTCACTCCTCTATCAAACGAGCTGTTTATTCTTGAATATGACAGAGAGAATATACATTCCACTGTTCTTTACATTTTTTCAAGTTACGTACACTTTAAATTATTTATTTTATGTTGGTAGTTTTTATTTATATACTCTATTACATATATATATACATACACCACTATATAATATTTATAAACACACATATATGTGTTACCTAATACTTAATTAGTTGGATACTATATACATATAAATATATGATAAATAAGTCGATATATTTAATTGAATATTACTAATAAATATTTTTCCATAAACAGCACAAATTTTATCAAGTATTATTTGTTTTAATATAAATTAATGAAAAAGTAATCAAGTTATGTCAAATGTTATTACAGAAACACTCTCTAACTAGAATTATTTACTAATTACAACATTGAATCAATTATACATAATAACTACCGATTTCACTTACGTGCAATTATGACAAGAAAGCTTGACTAGTTTCAGAACAACTCGAGACCCTAATCGTAAGCGGCTGTGACGTGAGCATGAGTCTCACTATGTGCCTTGACCCGTTGAGCACGAGCTGTAGGCATTCGCGATACCGTCACAGATAAGAAATATTGTGTTTGGAAATCTTCGGGTATGGGTAAGTTAAGCCGATAGTTATTACATAAAAAAACATACGTAAAAGTGTATTTACGAAAAATTTTCTAATTATAATAAACAAATTAAAATTAATTAATTAATGTTTAATTTGCAATCTGTTGGACATCAAAAGACTATTTTATAGTCGGATCAATTATTCGTTTGTTTATATTTTCATTATTTCTATTTTTTAACATAAACATAGGATGTAACTTCAAACTTATAAAATACAATTTCACTAAACTTTATTATTTGTTTATAGTTTTATGTAGACTCTTGTGTCCGAAGAGTTTCTCCTGCTGCGATTTAAAAGAGTACTCGACGATCTAGAGTTGAAAAGTTCTCTCCGGATTACGCTAACGTATCTAATAGGTTATTTTGCTGAATATTTTATAATTTTATTAAAAAGGAAGAGGGAGACTTTGTACAAAAATCGATTGCTTGGGTACCTCTGTCCCATTCGTGTTTCAACCGTGAAGCAGCTGTGTTTGCATGGCTGTGTTTCGGTTTGAAGGGTGGGATATGGCGCGAATTTATTGGGTACAGAGGAATAATACTTGAGTCCTCAGGAATAGAAACGAATGGGGCAGAGGTACCCAAGCAATCGACTTTTGTACAAAATCACCCTCTGGTAAACTGAACCTACTTTGTTTAATAAATCTATAGAATACTAGCTGACTCGGCAAACGTTGTTTTACCATATACATTATTTTTAGAAGTATACATGAAAATTTATCCTACTACAATTATTATATTGGATTGCCATCTTGCAACCCTATTGCAGCATATAAAAATCGCGATTAAAAAACAGGAGTTGATCGTAAAACGGTGAAAATTTGAGGTTGTATGTATTCTTCAATGCTAAATCATAATAAAATAAAAATGGAACAATTTGTCAATTTTTTTTTTTTTGCGAGGATCACCCTTATCATTGAGGGATATGAAAAATAGATGTTGGCCGATTCTCAGACCTACTCAATATGCACACAAAATTTCATAAAAATCGGTAAAGCCGTTTCGGAGGAGTTTGGTAACAAACACCGTGACACGAGAATTTTATATAGGTATAAGATATAAATCAAGTCACTGTCACATCGACCAAAAAAATTGCTAACTGCTGCATTACTTTTCGCCTTTTTCTTCTTGCTAAATTTAATGCTGATTCGTTCATTTCTAAATCAGGCTAATATTAAATTATATTATACGAAATAGCGGCTGACGAGGAAGAACGAGAAAGGAAAATATAATGGCCGACCCGATGTAATAGGATAAAGACCACGCTATTATTGTATACGTATAGCGGTACTTTTTCGCAATACTGCAGTTTCGATTTAACCAATAAAATATTTGTGATAAAAAACTACATTGATGTAATGAGTTGTGATGCTCATCTCATGCTTGCTATTAGTTATTGCAATTACTTATACATAGACTTTGTACAAAAGTCATTTGCGTGGGTACCTCTGTCTCATTCGTGTTTCAACCGTGAAGCAGTTGTGTTATAGGGTACAGAGGAATAACACCTGAGTCCTCAGGAATGGCAACGCATGGGGGATATCATGGGCGAAACAGTACATGGTACTGCTCATGTCCATAGGCGACGGTTACCACTTTCCATCAGGTGAGCCGTCAGTTCGATTGCCATTCTAAGTAGTATAAAAAAATAGAATGCATGTGGTCCGGGTATAGAACAGATCGTTCCTTCCTTTCCTGTGGGTAACGTAAGAGGCTATGGGCGAGAAATGGATAGCAGCGTCCCTATTAAAACTTTATTAAAAGCCAAAGTGCCGTTACCAAACCGCCTGCCAAGCGTGGCAACTACTGGTATAAAAATGCTATAAACCTCATAATTGTTTTAAAAATAAAACAAAGATACAAAGATTAAAGGGTAATAATAAATTATAACAATAATGACAAACTTATGAACACCATACTTAAGTACTTATTGTACAATATTAAAGTAGCAAGTATTGTTGTAGTCGATATGGACTCATAACTTTTGACATCAATGGCTACTCATGAAAATAGTATATTAGTTTGAAAGAACACTTTAAAAGGAACAAATAATATTATAGGAACCATGCAGGGCCTTATCTAGTTAGACCCTGGTTTAAGGTAGGGCAAAAGAACTTTTTAATAGGACAATAGATTGTTAGTAGGTCATAACTTACAAAATATAAAACAAAAATATTTTCGACTTAAATCCGTATTTTCTCCATCTTTCATGTAATTTTACCATATTTTTAAAAAAATTTAATTAGTTTCTAAATTTTATGAGGACTTTTGTTTTAAAGCAGGGCATTGGATTTTTTAAGGTACAGCATTCCCCCTCATTGCCCCCTCACCCCTAGCTACGGGCATTGAACCTAAATATAGTTAAATATCGGATTATATTGGTAGAAGTAGTAGTAGTATTTAGTTCTGATTTATTTTAGTTCAAATGCCCACTAATAATGTCTATATAAATTTTTTTGGATTTGGAAGATACATTTTTCAACTTTGAATTTATTTCCGAAAATAGTTATTAATCTTACTAAAATTTGTGAAGATGTATGGTTGGATGTTTGTTACTCTATTACACAAATACTACTTAAAACATTCGAACGAAATCTGGAACACAATTATATTATTTCTAGACTTAACCTATAGGATACTTTATACATTTATTCAAGTAGGAAATTTGTGGATTTAATATTATTTAAGGTGATAAGAATAAAGTTTACAGAAGCTGTTACAAAAAAGCAGAAAATATCACTTTCCTATAAAAAAATTACTCATACCCCTTATTTCTATTCGCGTAAAATAATTTATTCTATAGTTTAAGATCTGAAACGCAAGCCACACAGAAGTCCAAATGGGAGCTTAGAACCAGCTGTTTGAAAATTACAAATTCCAACCGTGTCTAGTATTTACTTCGCTGTCATATTCACCAGGAAACAACGGAACAACGACGAAAACAGCATACGACATTGTAGATAACATGTAAAATGATGCGTATTTTATGTTATTAGCTAAATAATTAATCCACGTTAGCAACAATATTTATAATAACCAAAAATTGTCTTACAAAAAAATCGACGTCACCTGTGACACAACAAGTTACTATGACCTCAAAAATTGAACTATTGAACCCTTTTTGATAAAATTCAGATAAAATGAATTTCACAAATCGATTTAGAACTGACGGGGTTATGAGGTAACAAACATAAAAAAATACAAACAAATTGAGAACATCCTTAATTTTGCAATCGATTGAAAAGTATCTGATATTTTGATATATTTATTATTATTATATTCTCGGTTATCTGTTGATTGATTGCACAGGGACAACTAGTGTAAAAGAAATCTTTGAAAATGCCTTAAATGACAAAACTGGCTAGGTGTATATTACAATAGCCTTTTTTGCAAGAGTACAAGTGATTTTCCAATAATATCAATAAAATGTTATTATATTATTCTGCACCTTGTAAATTCTGCCTGGAAGAGATCGCTTTTAACTCTTTGTTTTGTTTTATGCAGCATATTCTTTTATGAATAGCTTACAACCTAGAAAGTAACATTTTTTCTATAGACACGAACAGCACTATGAAAATTATAAAATACAAGATGATTCTCAAGACAAAATCGGTATGTGTTGTAATTTCTGTGCACTAAGGTGTTATGTCATTATTTAAACCGAAATACAACTATGCATGCATAGCTGTTTTATTGCGGAAATACAAATTAGAGAGATGTACCCACGGAGCCGTCTTTTTTTTTTGTCTTCCAGTAATATTTGCTTCGGCTGTAATCTTTTAGAGAGAACAATGAAGAGAAACCATCTCTCTACTTATTTACGTCGTCGCTGTCATTAGTTTATAATTCAAACAATCCCGTCTCGATTTCTGTGTGGTTTGCACTTAAAAAACTTCAAATAAAGTTTTACCTTTACAATCGAAAGAGTTACAGGATCGTCCCTGATCTCCGTAACCCTCGCAGCTTGGTCTGGAACAATATCTTCGTCTCGTTTGCCTCCCACCTCCACAGGATCTACTGCACGCTCCCCACTCCCCCCACCCTGCCCAACCTGTAATGTAGATGGATGATATGTATTGTTCATAACAACTGCATTTCTAGAAAGTTCGTTTATGAGAAAAAAATTAAGCTACTTTCTTAAGGTTGTTAGGAAGTACTGCTTTGGTTAACAGCTTTATGTTATGCATTTATTATTATTATCATTAATAACATTCAACATAAGGTCGTATTTTGCATGAATTTCCGATGAGCATATGTCTTATGTCAGTTTTTTCCGAATATCAATATAATCACTCAATAGAATAAGAAAATTAATTATGTACTCAGACAAATTAATTAAACTTCTCAACAGCGATAAAAAAAAAAACAAAATTATTTACTAAACGATATTTCTAGAAAATGTTCAAGTATCAAAACATGTTATTATTGTACTCGTATTTGTGAAGTCGGTTGTTACATTACTTACATAATAAGTAAATACATTCTTTATACATGTAGGTACATGTACACAGCATATATTGTACACGATACATGATGTCTGTTTGGTCCAGAAAAAAAAGTGTTTCAAAAATAAAAAAAAAATGTATTACTAACCGACGGCATTCCAAATGGCAATGTCTACTCCTAGACTCCAGGGTACTGCAGCAGCAGTAGCTTCCAGCCATGGCCCGTCAGCTGGAGTCGTCTCCAAATCCACGGCTGGATCACTGACCCTTGAAAATACCACCAGCTCACTTTGAGATGGCGCCATACTCCAGTTGAAGCAGTCCCCAAGTTGAGGACTTATTTTTAAATTCACCTGCCTGTGGACAAACACAAATTGGATATAATATCTTAGATAGATTTTTTTTTTATAAGCTAATTACAAATCATATGGTCCGCCTGATGGTAAGAGTTAAACATCATAAAGATTTAGTAGTGTTAATTATAAAAAAATACATATTTTATATGCGTACAATTACTTCATTATTTTCATATTTTTTTTAATTATGTAATACCTTATACCTGGACAACGGGGGTGAGGTAGGGGGAAGGGATCGTTAGTAATGCAAACTACCAGTCCCATAGCTAACAATATATCGTGGTCTCCCTGGAAACCAACGTGCTGAATTCCAGCTGTATTCATCACGATGAGCTAACTGTCCCGCCTTTTCATTCTTACCTATCATCTCTCACTGGTACCTCGTCAGTGTATACTGTTAGCACAGACGATGTTATCATACCGTTATCATTAAAAAAAAATATCTAAATAACAACAGTCCTTTTTACCACAAAACTCTTTTTAATTTTTCGGACTACCGTTAATTAAAATAATAAATTTATTTTAGACTTTATTTAGTGCTACAAATAAATCAAACTCCTAAGATAATATTGTTCACAGAATACTAGAATATAAGTTTTAGGTATATTTTATAATATTTTTTATTTTTTTTAATTAATATCATAATTACCTATTATTTAAATTAATTACAATAACGCATTATTCATTTAGTTATTCATTGAAATAAAAAGAACCAATACTAAGTAAACTTAAAAATAAAACAAAAAGAACAAATACTGTTTTACGCAACGCACAAAGTTCTTTACCGACAAAGGCCTTGTATTTATAATGAAATTCAGTAGGTCGACAAAAGGTGCCCTCACATGTACTTTTAAACAATTGTTTTGCTAATTTATTTTTAAATTGCTTACATTCCACACGTGAATACCATTGTCACTAGCATTTTTATTTAATACATGATGACAATTTTATTTGTGCTTCATTTTTATTTCACGCGTGCGTACAAAATTAACATGTACCTATGTATTAAAAAAAAAGTGTATTGCTACTACTACTACTACTACGTATCATGTTAATTGATCTTAATACTCCTAATTTGATCTCTTTCTCTCTCTCTCTCTCTCTCTCTTTCTACAAATTGAATAAATTTGAAAGAATAAAGCATTTTTCAGACTAAGAACGTTTTTTTTTATACAACTTAGATTGGCAAACAAGCTGACGGCCCACCTGATGGAAAGTGGTAACCGTCGCCTATAGACATGAGCAGTACCATGAACATAACAGAGTATACTGTTACGCCCATGCTACCCCCCATGCGTTGTCATTCCTGAGGACTCAGGTGTTATTCCTCTGTACCCAGTAAATTCACGCCATATCCCACCCTTCAAACCGAAACACAGCCGTGCAAACACAACTGCTTCACAGTTGAAACACGAATGGGATAGAGGTACCCAAGCAATCGACTTTTGTACAAAGTCTCCCTCTGGTATAATAGAATATATTTCAGTAATATTTAGAGATTTTTTTTATCTGATTGTCGGTTTGTCAAACCGATTTATAAAACACAGGAAGATAGATAAAAAAATATTAAGATCTTAAACGAGATCAAATTTTAATCCCCTTAAGGGATAAGTCCGTCTATGTATATTTTGGTATAACCTAATATCTATGTTAAAAGTGAATGTATAAAGGCATATAAATAAATAAATATCATACGTTTTATTAATATTATTTATTTAATTTTAAATTAGTTTAGTTTACGAAAGTAGTCAATTTATAATGATCAATATCTAAACAAAAAAAGAAAATTCATATAACTTCACCATACATTATCAGATAATAAAAATATATTTGATCCAAAAATTAATCTAATTCCCGTCTCTTACGACTCCTATGGGAAAGTCAGGGGTGGCCCATTTTATGCCGGAACCACATAGAAATTTGTTAAAGTACAACATAATTTTAATATTTTTTGTATATAACTTATAAAATATACTAGAAATATACATAAGACAAGTCTTTTCTTTTTTTCCCACGATAGTATGTAAAATTATAACGTAACCATATTACAAGTAATTTTTTTTCTTTTTGTAATAAAGAGAATGAAAGTCAAGTTCAATTAAATAAGATTAGATTAATTATAATATTTGAATGCAGACACTGAACTTTTTTACTTGTTACTTAAATAATAATCATAAAATTTAAATAAAAAATTATAGAAACAATAATTTCATTGTCTATAGCATTTACCATTAGTCCGTATTAAAGTGTAAAAGGACTACAAACGATTCCAATAATTTGCTTTTTGATCAAATTATCTTGTATTTGATATATTATCGTCGTAACAATCAAACATAATAATATCATTAAATCTATATTTATAATCAAAATATGTAATAGGCAGTAAAGGATATAATTTTGTATTTCATCATTAATGTACCGGGTTCGATACTCGATCTGGTCAATTAAAGAAACTTTTCCAAATTGACTCGGGTCTAAGCATTTTTATCATCTGATATCTAATAATACAGCATTTACAGTACTTTATCTCGAAGAACAAGTAACTGGTGTGAATGTATAATATTATTAAATTGAAAGTTAATTTGCATATTTAGTATAGACATAATATATTTATTTTTATTTTTATATATTTACATATTTCTCAAGTATTCATACGTTTCATACTAAAAATGTGAATAAATCATATTTAAAATCGATATTATTAGAATCATTTTAAGAAAGTATACTACTAATATTTATACACCATTATATAAAAATTTTATGAACTTATTATGTTTCTCGTTTCCGACAATTGTTTTGTCTTTATCCGAAAGTCTTTTTTAGAAGGAGTGTACGATGTTTTTGCATGACAGCAAAAAAAAATATGCAGTATTGTTTTCTCATTGTGATTAATTCTTGCAATTTATTTATTTACACTTTATTTCACCATTTATAGAATAGTAAATACATTTAACTATAATGAGAAATGATACAAAATGGCGGCCTTATCGCTAACCAATCTCTTCCAGACAACCTTTGGGTATAATTCTTGTAATTGTTTATATCTATAATAAGTTTACCAATTTAATGTTTTGGAGAAAATAATAAAGGGTGTCTATCTATTCTACTATCAAAATTAAACCATATTGTCATAGAAATATAGGTCGAAAACAGACAAAATACTTTGAGACTTCCGTACTAACTTAACACCTGGACGCTCAGTATTAGTCTGGTAGATTCAATATTTTTTTTTAATAAAAATGTTTAGTTTCAACAACAGAACACTCCTTTAAAAGGAAGCTAATGGTTTCGATTTCAAACTCTATTTTTTTTATATACAACTTAGAATGGCAAACAAGCTGACGGCCCACCTGATGGAAAATGGTACCCGTTGCCTATAGACATGAGCAATACCATGGACATAACAGAGTATACTATTTCGCCCATTATACCCCCCATGCGTTACCATTCCTGAGGACTCAGGTGTTATTCCTCTGCACCCAGTAAATTCACGCCATATCCCACCCTTCAAACCGAAACACAGTCATGCAAACACAACTGTTTCACACTGTATATGTATGATCCTCAAAAGTTTGCCCTTTAACATGTTACCGTCCCACTCATTCGCAGAATATTCGCGAACTCGTCAATAAAATTTACTTAATATACATTAGGCTCGGAATATTTCACATGTAACAAGAGAAATGTCATGTGATACGCAAAATCATACGTCACTCTAGCTACGTCGCTAACTATAATCTGCTACAAATCACTCTAAAGTAGATTTACAGATAGTCGTTACGTTTGGATTTATTCGTGAGTTATCGGCTGCATTGGAATAGCAGTGAAGTAAAATCGCAGCAGACGACCGACTAGACCATACGGAGCGAGTGAATAGAGACTTTATTACACTGTCATAAAAATCACAATTCATATTTTCCTTCTTATGTTTCATCTTATTACTTCAATAGCAAATAGTAGTGAGAACGATATAAAGTTATTACGAGCGAAAATCACTTATTGTGATTTGTCACAAGTTATATCACTGTGATTAAAAATAATATTACAATTTCACTAAATGATAAATAAATAATAGCAATAATTTTCATGCCTAATACGTGACTTACATTGAAAACTTCAGTGATACGAGTATAAAAAGGTCAAAGTTCATTTACTTTTGAGACTTGTTTTATTTAAATCACAAATTTATCAGTATTTCTAAGTGTCTTAAGTTGGCACTTACTACTGAGCAAGCATTAGAATGCTTGCTCAGTAAGTGCCAAAAAATACTCAATTAACTGTTAGAATTGAAATCGTCGTAGAAGGCGAATGAAAACCTTGAATTTTTTTCTGAGAGTTTTAGACCGTACTGTTTACTATATGAGAGATTAAATATGTCAATATATGTTTATATGTGTTTGTGTAATCCAAAAACTAATCTAGATAAGTAAACACTTAAGTATTATATTATTATGTAGATAGTAGGTATAACATTTGGCTGTTAACCAATCTGTTGAACATGTCAAAAACATATTGTAAGCTTATTTTGTGAAAGGCAGCGAAGCTATTATGTTTATGTAATATAAGACACTGTATCCGCCTAATATACTAATATTAGAAATGTGAAAATTTGTAAACTTGTTGGGGTATTTGTTACTTGTTGTCAGTCGTTAACTGTCTATTGCTGAACATAGCTTCTCCCATAAGGGAGTTTTGCCAGTAGTTGCTACGCTTGGCAGACGGGTTGGCAACCGCAGTTTGGCTTTTAATGATGTTTTAAGAGAGACGCTGCTGCCCATCCCTCCACCATAAGTTCTTTTACTTACATTTGTTACTTAATAACGTTTAAGCAACCGAACAGACTTGGATAAAATTTAATACTCAAATAGGTAATATCCTAATTAAAATAAAGGATACTGGTAAATGCGGATAACGCCACGATAGATAGTTAGTACTCTAAATATATAATAACTCAAATCTTTCCATGGATCCTCTGTACATTGTCTGTTGACTTCGATCGTT